CCCCCCCCCCCCCCAAATCTTCATGCCTAATGAAGCTACATCAAATTCCATAAGTTGATTTTTGTCATCAATGGCAGACTCCTTAACTAATTCATCACTTCATCATGAACAATGTCTATTAAATTGTTCAAAAGATCAAAGTCTCACCATAAATTTGGGGATCGGTTCATCGCTTTCTTTTTTTTCTTTGTCTTGCTGGCTACTAATCGATTCAACACGGGGACTGCCCAGTTCCCATGTTCTTTAAATCTTGATACCTACTTGCAATCAGATTCAAGAAAATGCATCTATGTTCAATATTTTCTTTTTAGACATGGTGTAATCGATTCTAACGGAGGATGTGTTGCTTGATATTTTTGGTTATTTGTTGATGCCAATCAAAGACACACTAAAAGAAATAGTCAAAACTGATTCTCCTTAATGAAATGGTGGCATGGAGCAAGGATTCTAGAAATCCATTGTTGCCTTTTAAGGTGGATTTCGAGAAGGCCTATGACTCTCTCTCTCTCTCTCTCTCTCTCTCTCTCGTGGGATTATCTTTTAAAGATCATGTAGATCATGGGGTTTGGATCAATATGGTGTGGCTAGAAAATAGAGTTATTGAGATATGTTAGTGCTTCTGTTCTCGTTAACAGGTCTCCTACCAATGAATTTCAAATTCATCGTGGTCTGAGATAGGGAGATCCCCTCTCCTATTTTTTATTTATCTTGGCGGTGGAGGGGCTTCACGTAACATTGGTTAGGACCCAATTGGATAATGTTATTAAGGGGATTTCTATCTCAGGGATCGAGATTTCAAACCTTTATGTCGACGATGTCCAGGGCCGGTCCATTGAATTTCAATGCCCGGGGCAAGAAAGTAAAATAACGCCCTAACATTTCTAAACAAAATTATATAGGAAAAGCGAAATAAATTTTATAGTCAAACTAAATGATAGTTGTACAAACAAAAGCATACAAACAGTGCCATTTTACATTTTTTTTGAAGAAAAACATATGTTATTTGATGATAGTTGTACAAACAAAAGCATACAAAATTATGTTTATAAATCTTCACAGACATTGACTTTCAATACTTCTTTCCGCTGAAGTTAGCTATCCAGAACCACAACCTATACAAAAAACATAAAATGGTCTTGCAGAAATTGAGAATCAACATCATATTTTCTAAAATCTGATACATCAAAGTTTCAGAAATTAAAATAACTTTTCAGATTTTGAGACATATCTGAATTTCATATATATTAGATTATTCAGAAAAACCATTCACATTATTCAGATATAAAAAAAACTAATCAGTTGTTCAAAAACAGATTTCATATATAACATCAGAATTTACATAACAGATTTTCGAAAATCTGATACATTATATTTTAAGAAATTAAAAGAACTTATCAAATTTTGAGATGCATCAGATCTTCATGTACATCAAATTATTCAGAAAAAACTATATCATATTATTAAAAAAAACAGAATATAACAAAATTTCAATATCAAAAACTCATCATACTATTCAGAAAAAACTGTTACATCAGAAATTTAAGAAAATCTCATTAGAAAAAACCTTATAAAAGTCAAAAGAAGTCGAAGGAAAAAATTACCTAAAAAATTAATGAAGCCCAGTTCTGGATCAACAAGACTACAACTTTAATTGATAACTTCACTTCACTTCACTTCACCTGCAAGCTATATAAGCAAAAATTGAAATTTTAAAAAATTTCAATAATAATCATTATCATATTTTCTCAACTTTAGGTAGGTTATGAAAGAAATTCAAACACTAGAAAAAACATACTGGATTATGACTTTTGGAAGACTAATTCATTCAATGACCCCTTTAAATCTTCACTTTAACATGCCCGGTAGTGGAGGACCGTTTGAAACTTTAGCAATTCACAAAATTCTTATAATTTGAATATATTAATAGGAGATAAATAGATTAGAGGAAACTGTTCAGGAGAATAATAGGATACTAGATGAAACTATTCAGAACGAGAACCAAGGAATATGTGACAACCCGATATTCCGAGTCAATGTAATATTATAATCTATTTTTGTAATCAATAAAAATAGCGTCAAAACGAATTGTTCAAAAGTCTCAATTGGGTTGCATAAAATGTTAGATATAGTGTCAAGGTTTTCAGAAATATAAAGAACACTCAAATCCGAGTTATAACGAAGAAGTTATGACTAATCAAAGATTCACGACAAAACCGGTAAAACACTGTCAAGTGTAAAAAGTGAAATTTCAATAAAATACTTTTTAGCCTTAAGTATCTAAACAAAAGTCGTAGATAATAACAAACCGTGAGCCTACATAATAAGAACGTCAAAATCTGGCTTCGTATGAGGAAGTTATGATTTTTCTAAGTTTCGGATACAACAGTAGACAGCTAAAAACTCGAAATAGAGATCGAGCAACTTTTAGCCGACACAACCTTAACAAAAATCGAAGATCCCTACAATAGTAGAAGTACGGTAAAAAGACAGACGAAAACGGATGTCAGATGAAGAAGATATGAATTTTTAACAGACTTTTCCTGTCCCGGCCTGTTAAAAATATAATATTAAAAACTTAAGTCAAAATTAGCCGACGGAGTCTAAATGAAAGTTGTAGAGCATAATCTCACCTACGGGTGGATATAAAGAACGTCGAAATCGGAGCTCGTATGCAAGAGATATGAATTTCTGAAGTTCGGGGCACGCAAACCAACCTTATCCGAAGCCCCACGACGTGAACTAGAGACTCACGGCGTGAGTCTATGACTGATGTGTGCCAGAGTTAGACCACCAGACGTCGCGTCTACGGACCAAACTCACGACGTGGGCCATCCCATGCCACGACGTGAGTCCTGAAATTTCACCCTATAAATAGAAACCGAGGGTTCCGGTTTCACTTGCTCAATTCCCTCATCTCTCTCACTTTTACTCTGCGTTAAGCACCCCGAGACGACCCCGACACCCCGATTACATATCCAAACCCCGACGAAGGCCCGAAACTCCGAAACGCCCGAGAAACTTACCACTTCCCGGTCGAAGTGCCGCCCGAGAAAATCTTGTTTTCTTCAAATCACCACACTTTCCAGGTGAGTTCATACCCCTACTTTTTCACGTCTTTTTCATGTTTTAGGGGGGGGGGGGGATACAAGTGAAACACAAGAAAAAATTATGCTAAAATATGAATCGTTATATATGGTTTCAAATACTTTACCTACATTATGTTTATAAATGTTAAACAATATTACTACCAACGTTACACTTTACATGCAAAGTTGGTATTACACCGAGTTTTCATCACCAAATGGAACACACTTTCGAAAAACTATAATGGGTATAGTTTACAAGTTATTCATGACAT